CTATCAGCCCTCACTCAGACCCTCACTTTGGTCATTGATACAATTTATTGATAATTACTAGCCTAAAAAATTAAATATGCATGGAATTTTGTCTCTCAGTTAACCTTATTTTCAATTGTAGCACTACTCTGACCTATTCCCCTCCCACAGCTACGAAAGTAATTTTCATAAAGTGTAGATCTGACTATGAAGCTAGGTTATGGTAGAGGGTGAGAGCACTGGACTTTGAGTCAGGAAGACATGAGTTCCAATCCCACCTCAGTGACTCTGGGCAAGCTGCTTAACCTCTGCCTCAATTTCCTCATCTATAAAATGGAGATAATAATATCATCTAGTTCACAGGGTTTGGTGTGGATCAAATGAGATAACCCCTGATGACTCCATGTCTTTGTTCAGGCTGTTGACTATGCATAAAATACTCTCTCATCCTCATTGCTTGCTGAATTCCCATCCATTCTATCCTTTAAAACTCATGTATAGGTCACTGCTTCCAGGAGAGTTCTATGATCTCCTTGTGAGTATAACTACATTGCCATGGAAATGCCATCCTAGAAACATCCATTCCAAAATGCTACTAGATGGTGGACTCTGGAGTAGAATATCCATGAAAACATAAATTATATTCAACACTATCCCAGAGTTCACCAGATAGTGACCTTTTAATGATGATGATGATGATGATTATACCTATCTATCTATATATCTATATATAGATACAGATATATATAGATATGTATATATATCTATATATATATACATATCACTTTAAGGTTTGCGAAGCCCTTTACAAATATCTAATTTGGTCCTTTTAGAATGGGCACTTCTAGGATGGCATCTCCCTGGAAATAAGGCTTGTATGAGTAATGGTTTTCCTCCTTACACTTCCCATGTATTTTCTTTTAATGCTTATTCCTAATGTATTTATCATGCAATGTTGTATATACTAGCTATCCTTTTTGGTTTTCTGTCCCCCTTCTGTGCCGGTCACGCCGTGCACTCTCCTCCTATAAGGAGCAGGCTGCCAGAGTCATACTTACCAGTCTTTGATGCCCACCCAGATAAACACAGAGACAAGCTGATCAGGAGGTGCAAACACTTGAGCTTTATTCAGAGGCCATCACAGCAAGGCCAAGCAGGAAAGCCAGAGCAAGAGAGCAGGAGAAAGAGAGAGCGAGTTCAACCTTAAGTACCTACTTAGCCCCTCCTCCTCAGCCCGCCTACTAGTCATTGATTGTAGGATAAGATACTGGAAGGGGATGTCTGGGTTTAGCGCTGCACCAAGGGAGAGGACGTGACACAGGAGGCTAGGACCGGATACAGGAAGGAGGCGTCTGGGGTCAGTGCTACACAAAGGGAAAGTACGTGACCCAGGAAGTCAGGAAGGAGATGTCTGGGGTTGACGTTGCACCTAGGGAGAGGACTAGACAAAGGGAACTTGTTCTCTGCCGTCCCACTCCCACGTGGCACAGCCCCCTGCCTCAGGAGCACGTGCTCTGGTTATTTCCTAATATCTTGTTCCTACCCCATCTTGCCACAACTTCCACTTGGCAGTAGCTAACACCAGACAATCCCTCACACCCTTCTATACTACAAACTAATTGAGGGCAGGTACCACATCTTTGCTAAATTAAATCAGGCATACAAGTATAATATTAGGGAAATATGGTTAGATAACTGTTTCTAAGAGGACAGTGAACTGCAAGACTCATGTGTCAGTAGTATGACATGGTAGGCAAAAACATTAATATGACCTTAGGTTGGTAGAAGCATGTTGTTCTAAAGAGCAAATAAGTAGCCTAGTGGATAGAGTGTCAGGCCTGCAATCAAGAAGACTTGAGTTCAAATCTGGCCTCAGACACTTACTAGCTGGGTAAACCTGGCCAAGTCACTTAAACCTGTTTGCCTTAGTTTCCTCATCTGTAAAATGAGCTGGAGAAGGAAATGACAACCACTCCAGTATCTTTGCCGAGAAATCCCAAAATGGGGTCAAGAAGAGTCAGGCACAATTGAGATAACTGAACAACAAAAACAACAAATGACAATACCATCCTAGAGGAATGCATGCTGGCATGCATTCAAAAAGCTGGAGGGCAAGAAGGATAACAACATGATTGGAAACCACATCACGTAAGCATGTGTCAAAGAGCCTACGTATGTTATTCTCACCAGTCAGTTGCCATCTACTGAGGTGAAAATCCCTTCCCCTTATTACTTCTCCCCATGTCTATCAACCCTAGCTCACATACCCACAGGCCATATCCTCCTCTGCCTTCCTATTTCATTATGGAACACATCATCTATTTTTAACAAAGGATCCATTATCCACCTATTTATTTCACACTGTCATCTCAGCCAGATCCTTGATGTAGTCATCTACCAGATTCTACGTCATTTTCTCTCATTTATCAAGGATGTTAGTGAACTTAAATGCCAAGTAAAATAAGTATTTCCATATACAAATTAGAACAGAAAAAGAGGGTGATTATATATGAAACTGTAAATCTTTATTATGTACAGCTTGATTTTCTTTTTTTTTTAATTTTGTTTGTATTTTTAGTCCCAAGTTCTCTCCATCCCTCCATCTTTGCTTTTCTTTTTAAGTATATAACAAATTTTTTTTGTGGATCAAAATTTGTATGAAACAAACTCAAAGCACTTTAGTTAATTTTGCCCCCATGTAGACTGACACGAAACTTAGCTGTGGGCCCTTTGGGAAAGGAGTATGTGTAAGAACTACTCTAAAGATAGAGCAGGAGGCTATTGAGACTGACTTGAAAGCTTCTTTTATCTTCTTGTCAGCTGCTTTTACCTGGGTGTCACAAAGCATGTTTTTAACATAGTAATCTTTTTTGTGTGAACCTTTAGACTGGATGCAAGTAGCGCATTGCCCCAGATGTGGACCCCAACCTGGATAAAATTCAAGATGTAACTTTCAAAGCTGTCCTGCTTATCTATGCTTCTCTCTGGCCTTCTTTCTATTCTCTTCTTTGAATTAAAAAAAAAGTTTCAATAACCTTCTTTTCTTTCTTTCTTTTTTTCTGGCGACCCTATCAGTTGTCACCCTCTTTTTCACTCCCCTATCCCTAAAATTGAAAAAAAGAAGAAAAACCTCCTGTAACAAATAGAAATAATTAAGCAAAAAAATAAAAAAATCCCATATTGGTCCTATGTGAAAAAGTATGTCTCATTCTGCACCTTGAGTCTGCCTCCTCTCTGTCAGAAGATGCTTTGTTCTTAGCCCCTCTGGGATTACAATTGGTCATTGCATTCATCAATTCTTAAGTCTTTTGAAGTTGTTTTTCTTTGCATCAGTTCATACAAGTAGTCCCAGGTTTCTTTGAAGCTGTCTCTTTTGTCATTTTTTTTAATGTCTCAATATTTATTGCATTCATTTAACAATTTGTTCAGCCATTCCCCAATTGATGGGTAATCACTTATTTCCCAGTTCTTTGCTACTATAAAAGAAGCTGATGTTAACATTTTTGTACATTTGAGTCCTTTTCCTCTTTCTTTGATCTCTTGGGCTTAGTAATGGTATTGCAGTTTATTGACTCTTGGGGGACATAGTCTCAAATTGCTTTCCAGAATGACTGGATCAATTTATGACCCCACCAACAGCATATCGGCTTTCCTGTAGCCCCTCCAATAATTGTCATTTTCCATCTTTGCCAATCTAATGTGTGGGAGGTGGAACCTTAAAGTTGTTTTAATTTGCATTTTTCCAATGATTAATGACGTGACTGCTTACAATCTTCTACTTTGTCCCAGCTCCTGACTTTATACTTGGGGGGTTTAATATCCATACCAGCATAACCTTGAATACCCTGGACTCCCAATTAATCTACCTTAACTCTCATGACCTCCATCTTCATTCCACCTCAGCCGCTCACAAGATGGTTATATCTTAAATCTCACCATTAACCATTACTTTATTACCTACAGGTTATTGAAATCCGAAATTCTCTCTGATTTTTGTCCTTCTATCCTTCCCCCAGACTCCTTTCTTTTAAACCTGTTTTTTTTTTCCTCTAGTCCCTTGACCTCCCTATTCTCTCATTCCATTACCCTTACTCAGACTCATAGTTCCCTTCATGGTCTTGAGCCTATCTATGGTTGGCCAGTTAAACCATTTACTAGCCTCTGCCTTTGAATTCTTTGCTACCTTGTCCTACTTCCCTTCATTCCTTGCCAGATCCCACTATTTACCTTCTCTGCTTCAATTCCAATGTTTCTGAAATTTGCTGAAGGTCACACAACCATGATCTTTGAGTCCACATAGATTCATGTTATAAAAGGTGCCAGTGCTACATGATAATCCTATATTCTTCTCTCATTGCTTCTTTATCATATGACACGTCTTCAAAGCAGATGTTCCAAATCTTCTATTTCAAATCATTACTGTCACTCCCAATCTCCTTCCCTTCAGCAGAGGACCTCACCTCTATGCTTCACAGAGAATCCGTCAGTCACTTTTTTTTTTAAGTGCCTACTATGGATCAGTCACCGTGCTAGGTTCAAGGACACTAGTGGTATAAGTTCAAAGAATGAACAATCCCTACTCAAGAGGATCTTCTTGCATTCTGCGTAAGCTCCTTCTTTTCCCTTAGACCTCAGAAATCCTGCACACCATTACTTATTGTCTGTTGCTTTGCTCCAGTCTGAGGAAGATTTGGACCTTCTTGTCAAAGCCAGTCTTTCTGCTTGTACCCTTTTGATCATTCCTCCTTTCTTTCTTTACTCTCTCTTTATTTCCTGCCTTCCTTACTCCTTCTCTATTACCTATTGTTGTTCTTGTTTTCACATCCTTACACATCCATCACTTTCTTTTCAAACTATTACCTTATATTTTTTCTTTCTTTTGCAATCAAATTTCTAGGAGGAAAAAACTCACACCCATCATCCCCATTTCCTCACTTCGCAATTGCTTCACAAACTTTTCCCCTCAACTGAAACTGCTCTTTCCAAAGTTAACATCAATCTCTTAATTGTTCAATCCAAAGATACTTATATGGCATGTCTCCAGGTCTCTCATTGTCCTGGTGTCTTCCTCTGGAAAAAGACCAAGTTCCCAATGCCTTTCCTTAAGTGTGGCACCCAGAACCCAGAACAGGGCTGAGTTCTTGTCACTGAACCAGCCTTTAAAGGGGGCTCAGGAGAATAAGAGCTCAAGCAGAAAGACGACAGGCCTATCTGTGCAGGCCCTGCCACCAAATGAGGGGTCCAAAGGGTGGAGGCAGTCCCAGCAGCTGCCTGAAGAGGACTGCATGCAGCTAAACCCATCCTTCAAGGGAATTGCATTCAACTCCTTGCTGGCTATTGACACGTGTATGTCCAAGAGGCTGGACGTCTGTGCCAATCGAGCTGCCTCCTGGGGCAGTGCCCACTCTATGGTCAAACTCATTGGGATCACAGGGCATGGGATCCCTTGGATTGGGGGCACCATTATCTGCCTGGTGAAGAGCAGCACTCTTGCAGGGCAAGAGGTCCTGATGAGTCTGCTGCTGGGTAAGTGAGAGAGATTTTGGCTTGGCACAAGGACAAATATCCTAATAATTAAAACTGTCTAAAAATGATATGGTAGTAAGTTCCTGAGGACTTTAGGGGAGGTGAGATGACCACTTTACAGGAATGATTAGACTGCTGAGGTCCCTTTTAATGTTAAAAGTCTATAAGTTAGATAGCTGCTAGGGTGCAATGCACAGACCCTAACATGGGACAGATTTTAAGCAAAACAAATGCATATGTTTTAATGATTTTGAAAATTAAATGAATGGAATGGAATGGAATGAATGTTTTTCACTGTATGTAATGAATGTAATGAAATGTAATGTAATGAATGTAAATGTAAAATTTGTAAATTTTGTAAATTTGTAAAATATAAAAAAATTTGTAAAAAATTTGTAAAATTTTATAAAAAAAATTTGTAAATGTAAAAAATGTAAAATGTAATGAAAATTTTACACCTTAAGGAATGTAGAAATTTGGTTTTTGATAGGTCATGTCTCACTGGCTCCAGTGGATAGCAATTTTTTTTAAGAGATAAAATCAGTTTCATATTTTCATTTTGGGTAGTAGGAAAGGGAAGCAATTTTTAAGCATTCCCTAGGCTTGTTTGTTTTCTCTCTCCTCTCTTCTCCTCTCCTCTTTTCTCTTCTCTTTCTCTCTGTCTCTCTCTCTGTCTCTCTCTCTCTCTCTCTCTCTCTCTGTCTCTCTCTCTCTCTCTCTTCCCTCCCCTGTTCTTTCCCTCCCTTTTCTCTCTCTACCTCTTAGCCCCATCCCCTTATAGAATCAATGAATAAATGATTCACCTGCATAACTGTGTGTAAAGTACTGTGTTAGAAGTTCAATTGTCCATTTAAACCAGGTACAAACTACACTGGAGTTGTTGTTTTGTTCTTCATTCTCGAAGAGGACCCTGTACTGGGAAGGGAAAGTAATGGTTTTCTTCCCTGGTACCGATGGCTTCATTTTTGGTGTTTTACACAAACGCAAACTCTATTTGTTTTATTCTTTCCTTGTTAATTCTTTCAGTTATCACTTTTTTTGGGTAAATAGCATTTTATTTTTTCCAATTATATATAAAGATAGTTTTCAACATTCATTTTTTAATAACATTTTGAGTTCCAAATTTTTCTCCCTCCCTCCCCTCCCCCTTCTCCAAGATGGCAAATAATCTGATATAAGTTATCCAGTTATCACTTTTAACATAGCTCATCTTTTTCTAAATTCTTATTCTTTTATGACAGCTTTTTTTAACCAGTGCTCCAAGTGGGGAAGGTGAAATTTAAACATTTCTTTACTTTTATTTTTCCTTTCCTTATTAAATTACAGCATAAAAAGTACCACTATTAAAAAAAAGAGTTAGTTTTTCCAAACTGTCTCCTACTAAGAAGTCAATAAACAGTAACTGCCTTTAGCCAATTTTGTTTCTGGAATGCGAGAATTGAAAGGAGTCAAAGAGATTATTTCATCCTAGTCCCTCCTTTCACACAGGAGAAAGCTGAGGCCTAACACTCATAGTCAATTAGTCGTATTGATAACTTTGCATTCCAACATTCAAAAAAGTTTCAGATACCATACTAGTAAAGTCTCATTTACTCTGCACCAGTAATCCAGATATTTTATATTTAGGCCTTGTCTAGGCTGAGTTTTGCTTTTGAACTATTAATGATGGAAAGTTTTGATAAATAAATGATGTAAACAAGGTTAAAGAGGTTAGACCTGATTAAAGGAAAGTGGTTTAAGGATAATGGTATACTTGGTTTCTTTCCCTTTCTTGCGTGTGTGTGTGTGTGTGTGTGTGTGTGTGTGTGTGTGTGTGTGTGTGGCAATTGGGGTTAAGTGACTTGCCCAGAGTCACACTGCTAGTGAGTGTTTTGTGTCTGAGGCCAGATTTGAACTCAGATTCTCCTGACTCCAGGGCCAGTACTCTACCCACTGCACCACCTAGCTGCCTCTCTTTCTTTTTCTTTCTTTCTACCTTCCTTCCTTCCTTCCTTCTTTTCCTTCCTTCCTTCCTTCCTTCTTTCCTTCCTTCCTTCCTTCCTTCTATTCTTTCTTGACTAGATTTGAGAAAATCTCTCGTTTTTAAGTTCTCATAGATCTGTCTCCCAGAAATCATCTGTCTGATCTTTGTTACTTCTTAGCTCTGCCTCTTGATACTCTTTGGCATGGCCTGGGACTCCCTTTTTATGCTGCTTCATTCCATTGTTGACCTCTGCTACAGTGCCATCATCTTCTGATGATCTTGCCACCCCAAACTACTATCCATTGCTTTTCCTCTGTGCTACTGCTGTTGGGCTTTTTGGCTGTCACCTGCTAAAGTCCCACCCTGATAATGTTTCCTGGCATTGTGGTTGCCATTACACCAATACTTTGGTGGCACAGCCCTCTTAGGGTGAGACCAACCAGGCTACTTCTTTTATAAACTATGCCTTTAACTTTCCTCTAGTTCTGTCTGTCTGGAACACAAAAGAACTGCTCAGACTTTTTTTTTTTTTTTTTTTTTTTTTGCCTTGCTCCTCCATCCTTGGATCCTAACTAGATTGGAGAAATAAGTTCCTTTGACTTCTGTCTACTTCAGGATACAAACATTCCCCTACCTCCCTACACATCATGCTCTATACCTCTAACTAAATCTTTCTGAAGCTGAGGATCAATAAGTAATTATTCCATTTTTAAACAAAATACATTTTATTGATATTCATCTTCATTTCTGAACATGTCCAGAAAACCATTCCTTGTATGAAAATGTAAAAGAAAAAATAAAAGCAATTCACCAGAACTAAAATGACACATCAACTGAATCTGATACTATATGCAAGATTTCTTATTCATAGTCCTCTGCCTATGCAAAAGAAGGGAGGGAGGCACAATTTTTTATCTCTTCAGAGTCATTATAATAAAATTCAGCCTTTTGTTGTTCTTTCCATTTACATTGTTGTAAAAAATACAACATTCATTATACTGTTTTCCTGAACTACTTACTTTGTTGTTGTTTAGCCATTTTTTAGTTGTATCTGACCCTTGGTGACCCCATTTGGGTTTTGTTTTTTTTTGGCAAAGAATAGTTTACCATTTCCTTCTACAGCTCATTTTACAGGTGAGGTAACTGACAAAAACAGGGTTAAGTGACTTGCCCAAGGTTACATAGCTAGGAATTATCTGAAGCTGGATTTGAACTCAAGAAGACGAGTCTTCCTGACTCCAGGTCCTGCGCTCTATCCACTAGCCTCCTCTTTCTCTGTGTTAGTTCATTAAGTCTTCCCATATTTCCCTGAATTCTTCATTCTTATCATTTCTTTTTTTTAAATTTTTTTATCATTTCTTACAGTATAATAATATTCCATTACCTTCATGAACCACCATTTGTTTAGCCTTTTGCCAATCAATTGGCACCTACTTCTGTTTCCATTTCTTTGATATCATAAAAAAGTGTTGCTAGAAATATAGTTGGGTACATATGGAAACTTTCTGATTTTGACCTCCTTGGGATATATAACAACAATAACAATAATAAAATAGTTAGTATTTATATAATGCCTACTATTTGCCAAGTACTTTACAAATATTATCACATTTGATACTCATAACTCTGGGAAGTAAGTGCTATTATTATCCCCATTTTAAAGTTGAGAAAATTGAAGGAAGGAGAGGTTAAGTGACTTGCCCAAGGTCAGACAGAGTGAGTGTCTGAGGCAGGATTTGAAATCAGGTCTATGCTGAGTCCAGGCCCAGCATTCTGTTCATTGACCTAACTACCTAAAATAATATAGTAGTGTAGGTACCTGATTATGCTTAGCAGTGGGATCTCTAGATCAAAGGGCATAGAAATTTTTGTATTTTTGTAAAGCAAGATTCCAAAATGCTTTCCAGAATGACTAACCCAATTCAAAGATCCCCTAGCAGTATATTAGTGGGCCTGTCTTTTTGATTTTCTGCCTCTCCTACCTTAAGTCATTTTCATCAATTTGTTGGGTATGAGATGAAACCTCAGAATTATTTTGATTTGGCTTTTCTCTTAGAATAGATGTGGAACATTCTTTCATATGGCAGTTAATAGTTTATACTTCTTTTTAGAACTATTCAGATTCTTTGATCAATTACACATCTGGGAATAGCTCTTGGTCTTACATATTTATGTTAATTCCTTATGTTTCTTGAATATCAGACCCTTCTCAGAGATATTTGATGCATACATTTCCCCCCAATCTATTTCTTCCCTTCTTTTACTTCTTATCCTAGTTTTACCAGTTTTGTTCCATATAACATTTTCTATGCGCCCTCACAATTCCTGTCATGCTTGGCATAGCTAGTACATAGATAATGTAAATTATCTGAAGTTTTATTAAGCCCCAAGAAACACCAGAAACACTGGAGGGAGTTAATAGTGATAGGGATTCAAAAAAATAGGAAAAGAAAAGACTGTCAATGAAAGTTTTTTTTTAATGAATAGAAGAAAACAGAAGGATGTTCAGAGGGGAAAAAACAATGAGCAGGACAAATTTGGAACTAATCTGTTGACTTTATTATGTACTTTAAAAAACACCCAAAAGCTGCACATAATAGAGATTTTCAGTTTCATATGCAACACTCTTTTTCTGTTCTTTTGAAATGTTTATTGAATGAAATGTTCATGTTTGTTGATATTCATTTTGTTCAGAATAACAAAAATGTATGGATTTGTTTTGCTTGATTATACTTATTTGTTACACACTTTCCCTGTTCTTTCTCCTGATCATAAAAGAGGAGAGATCCATATTGTTCATTACTAAGGTTAATCTCTCTACCTGGCCTCTAAATCCATTCCTTCCTGCCTCCTCTAAGACCCTGCTCCAGCGAATCTCTCAAGCATTTACAACCTCTCCTTTCCCATAGGCTGTTTACAAACATACTTGGGTCCAGGTGTCAAAAAATCTTATCTTGATCTTTAGAGGCAGCTGGTGGCAGTGGACAGAGTGCTGGGCCTGAAGTCAGGACGACCTAAATTTAAATCCAGTCTCAGATACTTATT